TTCGGCTCCCTGTCCAGGGAGTGTCGTAAGACCTATGTCTCCATGACTCCTCTCATGGGAGAGGACCATCTGTCCCCAGGCCTAGCCCCATTCCCCGCCCTCACGGGGCTCATAGGGAGAAGCTACGCCTCTGGTCTGCCATCTTAACCGCCCCAGGAGGGCTTATGGGAAAGGCAGTCTTGTGAGCTGCAAGTGGTAGCAGTCTCCGGCCCTGGCACCTTTCCCGCCCTGGAAGGGCTCCTGGGAGTGGTGTCTCCTCCTCCTTGATTCGCTGGTATGCTCCCGGCCTTCCCTTAACCTTTTTTTGTAGGACATTCTCCTTAGCTCTGGAACTAGCCTTGTTACAAACCTTTGCACTTTCTCTTTCTTGACGTGCTTGACCAGGCGTGGGTTCTAAACTGGTGCTGCATACTCCAGTATGGGTCTGACGTACATGGTGTACAAAGTCTTGAACGATTCCTTACTGAGGTATCAGCTCAGCCAGGCGCCCATATGCTGCAGCAGTTATCTGGTTGATATGTGCTTCCGGGGACGTGCTCAGTATTATACTCACCCCAAGATCTTTCTCCTTGAGTGAAGTTTCCAGTCTTTGGCTGCCTAGCCTATTCTCTGCGGTCTTCTTTGCCCTACCCCGATCTTCATGACTTTGCATTTGGCGGGGTTAAATTCGAGGAGCCAGTTGCTGGACCATGCGTCCATCCTGCCCAAGTTTCTTCGTAGTCTTGCCTGATCCTCGTCTGATTTGATTCTCCTCATTAACTTCACATCATCTGTGAACAGGGACACTGCTGAGTCTATCCCTTCCATCATGTAATTCACATATACCAAAAATAGCACTGGTCCTAGGAATGACCCCTGTGGGACCCCGCTCGTCACAGGTGCCCACTGTAATACCTCATCACGTGTCATGACTCATTGTTGCCTCCCTGTCAGGTATTCTTTGATCCATTGCAGTGCCTTGCCTGTTATACGTGCCTGATCCTCTAGCTTCTACACTAATCTCTTGTGAGGAACTGTGTCGAAGGCCTTCTTGCTATCCAATAAAATGCAGTCAACACACCCCTCTCTCTTGTCTTATTTCTGTTACCTTGTCATAAACCTCCAGTAGGTTTGTGGCACAGGATTTGCCTTTCATGAATCCATGCTGGTTGTCGTTTATAATCTTGTTCCGTCCCAGGTGCTCCACTACTCTCCTTCTGATAATCTTCTCTGTGACTTTGCATACTATGCATGTCAGTGACACTGGTCTATAGTTTAGTGCCTCGTTTTTCTGTCTCCTTTCTTAAAAATTGGGACTACATTTGCTGTCTTCCATGCCTCAGGTAGTTGCCCAGTTTCGAGGTATGTGTTGAAAATTGTGGTTAGTAGCACACACAGCATCTCTGCTCCCTCTAAGGACCCATGGAGAGATGTCCGGTCCCACCATTTTTGAGGTATCAAGGTCACTTAGCTTCATCTCCTCCTTGGTTGTGTGTATTTCATCCAACACTTGTTAGTATATCCTTGTTGGTGTACCCCACTGTTCTGTCTTCCCAGAGTCCTTTCTGTCTCCACTGTAAATTCTTCCTTAAATCTCGTGTTGAGCTCCTCGCATACTTGGTCGTTTCTTGTGAGCTCCCAACCTTCTTTCCTCAGCCTGATTACCTGGTCCTTGACTGTTGTCTTCCTCCTGATGTGGCTATATAGTAGTTTCGGGTCAGGCTTGACTTTCAATACTGTATTATTTTCGTACTGTCGCTGGGCCTCCCTCATCTGTGCATACTCATTTCTGGCTCTTCAACTAATCTTTCTATTTTCCTGGGTCCTTTGCCTTCTGTAACTTTTCCATTCTCTGGTGCAATTAGTTTTTGCCTCCCTACACCTTCGGGTAAACCAAGGGCTCGTTCTGGTCGTCCCATTATTTCTGTTGCCTTTGGGAACAAACCTTTCCTCTGCCTCCTTGCATTTTGGTGTTACCTAGTCCATCATTTCGTTAACTGACTTTCCTACCAATTCTTTTTCCCACTGAACCTCCTGCAGGAAGTTCCTCATACCTGTGTGTGTGTGTGTGTGTGTTGGGAATTGATGTATAGATCATTTCAATAACGTGTTGTATGTTGTGGATGAATGTATGGAACACAATGACTTCCAACTCCACCCTATCCCTTACTTGTTCCACTCCTCACTCCCACCATTGCTCCCCCTCCTTGGCTCTTCCTTCCAGACCTACCTCTTTAGGGGAAATTAAAATTCTATTCCCTAGCTCATTACAAGGGGCGTCTTGATGGTCGAGACTGGTGAGAACTTGCACGGGATTTCCCACCTTCTGTCTTATTACTTCTCTTCCCTCCCCTTCCAGGGTACCTGGGAAGGGCAAAGGAGGGGGAGGGTCCTTCCCTGGAGTGGGCTCCCCCTGGAGTGGGCTCTCCCCATGGGATGGGCGTTCCCCTGATGGAAGCTGTCACATCTTGCCAAGCTTTTATATACTAATTCCTGATGAGGCTGTCCAGGCTTGAGGCTCGTTAGTAAGCAGCCAATTCACCTCAACTCCTGCATTTCTTTTTTTGGCTTGTTTTTTTATGACTTTTTTTTTTTAGCTTATCAGTTTATCTCTTGTGTTTATTTTGGCCTTGTGTATTTTTTAGCTGGGTTTCTCAATGTTTCTTTCGACTTGTGACTTAAGCAAACTTTCTTTAGTCTTCGCAAAAGAAATTGCGAGTTAGCCTATGCACTCGGCACTTGCGCCAGCTTCCTAAGGGGCTGGATTTATTAAGAAAAGCCACTGGTAAGAGTACTAACTATGTTATTACAAGGAAGAACTTAGATTCAGATAAAACTCCAGAGACAATAAAAAATGCAAAACAGCCCCGGTGCATTACAGAGAAAGCACGGCCGTGACGAAACATTACAGAGCAGCAGCACTAACATCACGTATAAAAGTCTATTGAGAGGTTGCTAAAGAGTAAATGTTTTTGTAGAAAAGGATGAGCTATACAACCCAAGGAAGATCATGCTTCTTGCACCTGTAGACTACTACGGCAGAAATGAGAGGCACCGGTAGACAGTTCAAATTTAAATTTGGTTTACATGTATTTCAAAAATGCATTTCACTTATGTGACCATAAAAACTGCAAAATGCACCAGCTTGTCCATGTTTTGATGCCTGTGTAGGACTGCATGCTGCTGGCTGCAATAACCTGCTTGACCAAATAGTCAGAAAATGAAAGTCAGGCGTCAAGCCTGCCATCGATAGTATGACTCCCAACATGAGTTACAGGTGTTGAGTGATTGCTTGCAAAACGAAGACCAAAAAAAGTGTAACCATTTTCCCTTAGTGTCCTCACTATACCATTGTTTTTCACTCGGTATACGAGTCTCCCAAGCCTCTTACTTTCGTGGGAATGATTTGTGTGTAGATTGAGGACCAACTACTCTCGAATTTTCCAAGTGTAGATTATTATGTATCTTTCTCGTCTATCTTCTAAGAGGTATTAATCGAGATATTTAAAACGATACCAGCAATTTAGGTGTTAGACTGAATTCCTGAGAGTAGTATAGGTTCTCTGCATATTCTACAGATCTGCAATATTGCCTGTTTTGAATGGAGCTATTAGAGCACAGCAGAACTCCAGTCTTAAGAGAACAAGTGACTGATAGTGACACTGTTGTGGTCCTTGAAGGTGAGATCTTCCGATTTAATCACTCCTAAATCACTCGCATTAGTGTGACATCATATTGTGATCGGAGGTCCACTGGAAGACTGCTTATATCATCTTGGAGGTTTGCTGTGTCCTCAGTGGATGCCACTCTCAAATATATTCTAGTATCGTCTGCAAAAGATGATAGTGTTATTGTCAACAGTGATACTTGTAGTAGTAATTCAAATATAATTTATACTCAGCCTCTCTTGCTAACCATGACGTCACAGACTCCCGTGCGCCCTGCACATGCGACGTGAGTCAAAGGTAGTGTCTTAACCGTGAGGGTAGTGTGTCTCGGACATGCTGGGCTTCGTCAGTTATTTACCCAATATATCGCCCGTATAACAGTCCGCAGTGTTTTTCCTTCACCATCACTTCATTCTTGACGAACCCTGACAACGGTGGCAGCTGTCAACGCTAATGTATGGCGTCCCCGACATATATTATGATTTATGTTTCAGTACTGTGCCTAAGGCGATTGCAGTCTGTATATACTACATCTACAGTTTGTCATCTACTGCATGCAAGGCCATGTCGTAATGGTCAAGTAATTGTAAAAGGTAAAAGCGACCTGCTTTAAACCCATGCTGCCCTAGGTTTTGCAACTGTTGAGATTCTATGTGATTACAGTGTTGCTGAATGACTAGAACGTTCTTGACAAGACGCTGAATCACTGATAACACTCTTAAAGTCCCTTGTTATCTTCAGAATAGAATACTGCTGTATACTAATGGCTTCCTTCAAGGCAAGCAAGAGAGATTGCTGAGCTGGAATATGTACAGAAAACTTTCACTGCCCGTATACATTTAATCAAGCATCTGAACTACTGGCAATGCCTGAATTCCCTTGAACTGTACTCCTTGGAATGTAGGCAAGAAAGGTACACCATAATTTACACCAGGAACATCATGAAGGGCACACTACCTCCAATAAGAGCAGGAGCACGACAAGTACATTAAGAGGAAACAAGATGAGAACCCTCTATTTGTGGTTGCGGGGAATTGCAAACAAACCTTTAGTTGTCTTCAAGAAGAAACTTGATAAGTTTCTCGAGCCAATTTCTAACAATCGTGCAGCCAGTATCAACAATCTGGCTGATCAGACCTTGATCTGCAATGAAGCCTGGTCTGGGACCGGACTATTGGGGCGTTGACCCCAGCGTATGTACATGTGTCGACGTATATCATGTCTCATATTAGGAACGTTGCCTACAATTTTGTCCGTATCTTCACGACCTGATAGTCTAGAGACGAGCTACCGGATGCTCTTGATTTTTTTTTTTATTTTTTAGTGTCTAAGTTGTATCGTCTTATGTTGCAGCTACAGCTGCTGCAGTGCAGCAGGACATCACGTTGATCGTGGTGCTGGCGGTGCTGGTACCGCTGGTGCTGCTGCTCCTCGTTGTCGTCTTCCGCAAATTCAACCAAAAGGACCGACAAGACGGACCCTTGTACGAGATTGCTGCCTCAGGTGAGTCCATTTTCAGCCTTCTTGCTTGTACTGAGAGACGATGGGATTTAATATTCAAGCATTATATAACAAAAATTTACATGTATGACGTACAGATACACTTGCATCTCTATATAATATTGCTGCATACCTGTATGAAAATACATATTGCAACTACAGGTATCGTTTAGCACATTCCGCAGACGATCGAAATTCTTTACTAACCTTATATATGGTGGGTAGAGTACTGCTTTCTCCCAAGGGCAGGCAGGTTCAAACCACCTCTAACCGGAGATAAAATGTTTGTACCAGAGGCATGTTTTACAGTCGGGGTGAAGTACATTCAGAGAAACATTATATGATGCCATAAATAAAGTTTGAAAGAGTAACTCAGTTTTTTTTAAATATAGTGAAGAGATGAGCTGTATATACTAGTACCAGTCTTATTACACACAAGTAATTTCCAACAATTTGATGTCAGTTTCTTTTTAGTATGCAAAACCAAATAAAATGTTCTCTCACGTGAACTTTTTTCACAGCTAGAGAGACATAATGGGACTGAGCCGCAGGGGTGATTATCCCTGTAACTATTAATGTATAAAATATATTATTAATCTAAACTGAAAAATAGCAATGTGTAAGTTCTCTTTAGTAGATAAATAGTTCGGAGAACCGACATGAAATTTAGTCACTTGTGCAACACTTGGGTATCTTTGTCGAAGCGTTTCGCCAATCAGTGGCTTCCTCAGTTCAACACGAGGAAGAATGGTTGAAGATCTGAAGGCGTTCGAGGTAATCAGTCCCTCGGCCTGTAGTCGATATGATCACATTGACTCCAGGCTGAGGGACTCATGCCTATTATACTTAGACGTTCATATTTACCACGTTCACATTTACACGTTTGTACTTAAAAGAACGTATTTACACGTTTTCATTTACACGTATTACACTATTGTATTTAGACATCTGTCCTTACGTTAAATGTACAGAGAGGTTCCTCTTCCCCACAGACTACCCGATGCCTTTCTACTCAGACACAACCAAGAAGCTGAAGGGCCTGGCACCTGACCTGACACAAGGAGTAGGCCTCACACCTCTCCCACCCACTGCTCTCCCTCTCTGCTACGACCACGCCTACAGCGATCCTGCCTCGGTCTCCAGTGGGCATAAATCAAGCGTGGGCATGATGGGTTCAGTCTATGAGGAACACTACTCGGCCCCTGCCAGTGGAAGAGGACCCTCGGGCAGTGCCACCCCTGCCTCTGAGCACCACTATGATGTACCGCACATGCGCCCCGCCCACGACTCTCCCGCACCCTCTGAGGCGTGCCACCTTCTGCCTTCCCGAGCCCTGGCGACGCCCACCATAGAAGGCAGTGTAGGCAGCAGAGGCCTCGACTCCCCAGTCTCCTCCCTGGAGAAACCTCCCAGAAGTGAATCTCCAGCTTCCCTCTCTAGTGATGCAACCTCCTGTGAGTATAATTTTACTACAGTCTTTGTTTATGCTACTGTTCAGTTTGTTGGTGCACTAAGAAGGGTGGCGGTTTATAATGAAGTGGTGTACATTATGATGAACTTCATGGGAGATTTTTATTTTGTTTTACTTTTATAATGATGTGTAATATACTGAACTGATATGCATAAGTTCAGTTATCTTTTATTTACAATACATATTTCTTATTGAAATTTATATTGTATTACACACACACATACAGTATATATATATATATATATATATAATATATATATATATATATATATATAATATATTATATATATATATATATATATATATATATATATATATATATATATATATATATAAAACACACACACACACACACACACACACACACACACACACACACACACACACACACACACACACACACACAGAGCAGTCGTAGAGCCAGAAACGAATATGAACAGATAAGAAGGGAGGCCCAAAGACAATATGAAAACGACATAGCAGCGAAAGCCAGATCTGACCCGAAACTCTTGTACAGCCACATCAGGAGGAAAACAACAGTCAAGGACCAGGTAATCAGGCTAAGGAAGGAAGGAGGAGAGACAACAAGAAATGACCGTGAAGTATGTGAGGAACTCAACAAGAGATTCAAAGAAGTGTTCACAGAGGAGACAGAAGGGGCTCCAGAAAGACGGAGAGGTGGGGCACACCACCATGTGCTGGACACAGTGCACACAACCGAGGAAGAAGTGAAGAGGCTTCTGAGTGAGCTAGATACCTCAAAGGCAATGGGGCCAGATAACATCTCCCCATGGGTATTGAGAGAGGGAGCAGAGGCGCTATGTGTACCCCTAACAACAATATTCAATACATCTATCGAAACAGGGAGATTGCCTGAGGCATGGAAGACAGCAAATGTAGTCCCAATCTTTAAAAAAGGAGACAGACATGAAGCATTAAACTACAGACCAGTGTCACTGACATGTATAGTATGCAAAATCATGGAGAAGATTATCAGGAGAAGAGTGGTGGAACACCTAGAAAGGAACGATCTCATCAACAGCAGCCAACATGGTTTCAGGACGGGAAATCCTGTGTCACAAACCTACTGGAGTTCTATGACATGGTGACAGCAGTAAGACAAGAGAGAGAGGGTGGGTGGATTGCATTTTCTTGGACTGCAAGAAGGCGTTTGAGACAGTTCCACACAAGAGATTGGTGCAAAAACTGGAGGACCAAGCAGGGATAACAGGGAAGGCACTACAATGGATCAGGGAATACTTGTCAGGAAGACAGCAGCGAGTCATGGTACGTGGCGAGGTGTCAGAGTGGGCACCTGTGACCAGCGGGGTCCCATAGGGGTCAGTCCTAGGACCAGTGCTGTTTCTGGTATTTGTGAACGACATGACGGAAGGAATAGACTGAGGTGTCCTTGTTTGCAGATGACGTGAAGTTGATGAGAAGAATTCACTCGATCGAAGACCAGGCAGAACTACAAAGGGATCTGGACAGGCTGCAGACCTGGTCCAGCAATTGGTTCCTGGAGTTCAATCCCACCAAGTACAAAGTCATGAAGATTGGGGAAGTGCAAAGAAGACCGCAGACAGAGTACAGTCTAGGGGGCCAGAGACTACAAACCTCACTCAAGGAAAAAGATCTTGGGGTGAGTATAACACCAGGCACATCTCCTGAAGCGCACATCAACCAAATAACTGCTGCAGCATATGGGCGACTAGCAAACCTCAGAACAGCATTCCGACATCTTAATAAGGAATCATTCAGGACCCTGTACACCGTGTACGTTAGGCCCATATTGGAGTATGCGGCACCAGTTTGGAACCCACACCTAGCCAAGCACGTAAAGAAACTAGAGAAAGTGCAAGGGTTTGCAACAAGACTAGTCCCAGAGCTAAGAGGTATGTCCTACGAGGAGAGGTTAAGGGAAATCAACCTGACGACACTGGAGGACAGGAGAGATAGGGGGACATGATAACGACATACAAAATACTGAGAGGAATTGACAAGGTGGACAAAGACAGGATGTTCCAGAGATTGGACACAGTAACAAGGGGACACAGTTGGAAGCTGAAGACACAGATGAATCACAGGGATGTTAGGAAGTATTTCTTCAGCCACAGAGTAGTCAGTAAGTGGAATAGTTTGGGAAGCGATGTAGTGGAGGCAGGATCCATACATAGCTTTAAGCAGAGGTATGATAAAGCTCACGGCTCAGGGAGAGTGACCTAGTAGCGATCAGTGAAGAGGCGGGGCCAGGAGCTCGGACTCGACCCCCGCAACCTCAACTAGGTGAGTACACACACACACATACACACACACACTCGTGGAGGAGTCACGCGGTTTGAGCTCGTGTTTTGGTGCTGGCGCCCTCCCACCCCCACGATATCAGCAATGTCACAAGTAGTCACGGGTTCCCAGGAATCTTCACGACAGAGCCAAAGCTGTCGTTCACGAGGCATCTGCCGGGTGTGCTACAGGGAATGTGCACTCAGTCCCACATCTGGCAACATCCGTGCACACAATGGATGTCTAGGCTGCAGGAGAGCTCCAAATGAGAACAACGAACAGCCTCCCCCAGCAGACAGGGCTGACAGCTACCGTGACTTTACCTCTACAGAGGACCTCAAATCTGCAATCAAATTAACATCCACCAGGACTCTGACACACATCCCCAAAGCAGCTCGCCCTCAAGCTGCTAGCAAATTCACTGACCTCCTGAAGAAAGTCAATGATGCTCCTTCAAACAACAGATCCTGGCACAACTTGCTGCTTTTTGGCAATGCCTGTTTGGCTGTCCCACCAAGGAGGGACAAGTCACTAGCAACACATGTTATTAGGGCAATAAATGCATTCCCAAGGGATGACAACCTCGTCCGTCTCCCCCCTAGTGCGACAAACACCCGCCGGGCAAATGCCAACAACAGGACACCCGACGCCTCAAAAATCAGAGCCCAAATTAGCAAAAAAATATAAGAGGGTAATACTATTGGAGCTCTGAGACTTACAACCAGTGAGGATACCATCGCTCCCAAGGACGTCAGCACGGCGCAAGCTCTGAAGGACAAACATCCACCCAGGGCTCCCAGTACCAACATTGACCTCCCTGACATTGGAGCAGAAGAACATCATCTAACCTTACAGGATGTTGATGTGTATAAAGCTGCTATGTCATTTCCACAGAGCTCAGCAGGAGGTTTCACCGGTTTAAGGCCTCAACACTTAAAACAAATACTCAATCCAGCACTTGGTGAGGTTTTAGAGAGGCTGCTGTCTGAACTCAGCAAATTTTCCAACCTGTGCCTGGCTGGCAATGTCCCAGAGGCCATCAGACCCCTTTTCTTTGGTGCCTCATTGTGTGCCCTCCGGAAAAAGGATGGCAGAATCAGGCCCATTGCAGTGGGTAACACCTTTCGGCGCCTAGTCGCCAAGGCTGCAGTAAGAAGGGTGAGTCAAGAGGCTGCTGCAGTGCTGAAACCAACTCAGCTCGGTTTCGGCGTTCAACAGGGCTGTGAAGCAGCTGCCCATGCAGCACGAGTATATATCAAAAACATGTCCGATGAAAAAGCCTTGGTCAAATTGGACTTTGCCAATGCTTTCAACTCAGTCAGAAGGGATGCTGCTCTCCAAGCAGTTTATAGAAACTTCCCTTCCCTTTATCCCTTCATAGAATCGTGTTATAGTGTGACTTCCAAACTATTGTTTGGGGACCATGAAATTGACTCGTGTGAGGGCGTGCGACAGGGGGACCCTCTCGCCCCCTTTCTATTTTGTTTGGTCATCAAGGAATTCACGGAAGCACTCTCCAGCAAGCTCAATATCTGGTTCCTGGACGACTGTACCCTAGCTGGCACAACAGAATCTCTCCTAGAAGACATCAGTAAAATTAAAGACATGGGAGAAAGCCTGGGCCTTTCTTTAAACCCCACCAAATGTGAAATAGTTTCTACCAATCAACAGATGATCCAGAATATTAGTGCCATTTTACCAGGAGCACGAGCCATTGATCCAGCCAATAGCACTCTCCTTGGTGCTCCTCTTGGGTCCAAGGCCATCGATCTGATCCTAGAAAAAAAATTCAGACCTCCGGACGATGGAAAGCAGGATGAAAGACATTGAACACACGATGCTTCTACCCACTACCAGGGTGCTGTCAATCCCAAACTTGCCTACTTTGAAAAAACCCCCCGCCCCAGAGTAAAACCAAAA